TTCTACATGGACTAGAGCTGGTCTCCCTGACAGACAGAATGTTACCAGAGTACTAGTGTATGACATCTGAGATTAGATTCTGAGATTAGATTATAAAAGATTACAGCTTCCAATTTGGGGTCCCCTCCCCCCTCTCTGATCACTTGCTCAAGGGAAAACCAGTTACCAGACTGAAGAGCACTTTGGGCAGCCTAGGACAGGCCCTCGTGATGAGGAACAGAGAACCCTAAACAACAGCCCCCAAGCAGCCCCCCTTGCCAACCCCCACATGCGTGAGCTTGGAAGCGGATACCAGCAATCAAGTGATGTCAGTTCCAGGCAACAGCACATTCTCATCTCTGAAACATAATAACCCACACCCACAACTCAGAAGAGGAGAGGTCTATTTGCCTCATGGTTATAGCCTGTGGTTAGCTGGCTCCAAGGCACAGTGCCATGCTGGATGAGCTTGGTGAAGGAGAGCTTCTCCTGTCATGAAAGCCAGAAAACAGAGAAAGAAGGCAGGAGCTGGGGAGGGAGACATACACTTTCAGGCCATACCCTCAGTGAACCACCTCTTCCAACCAGAACCGAATTCCTACTAGCAAGTCAGTTATATCACCCCCATAATTCAATCACCTCCAAAAGGCCCACCTAGAAGAGTATGAGGCCTCTGGGGGACATCCTGGATCTGAACCATAGCAGCAACTTTATCACAGATCCTGAGCTACATCCATCCACCTAGCTAAGCCTTTCAAGATTCCTCAAGCACAGAACAACAGCTGACCAAAGAGGAGCAAATGGGAGGAAGCTCCTACATTGCCATCTGCTACTCAGAAACTTGCTCTTATTCTCCTAAAACAGAGATTTATTGAAGAGTTCTATGTCTCCCCATTTCCCTAGCTAAATCTTTTTTTTTTTTGGACATGTCTTTGAGAAGGTAGGAAATTCCTTTGATCTTGTCACCAAAATTAAAACCATGATTTCTAAGACAAGAGCATGGAGAGACAGTCCTAGGACCTCCACCATAGCAGCACCTGCAGGAAGGGGATCCCGTTGCTTTGGCTTTTCTTTAATTCAGATAGCTACCAATATTAGATGAATGAAATTTATTTAAACAGAACTGATGCAACTGATTGCAGCTTTTAGAGGTCCACTAGAAGAGAGAAACTTCTCCACCATGAAAATCAAGGTCTTTCCTTTTTGAATTTATAAATGAAATATAGTATTTGTATGTCTTTTAAGGTATACTCTGGTAATTTGATACATGTATACAGCATGTGACAATCAAATGAAGATAAAAACACTTCCATCTCTGCAAACATTGGTCATTTGTGTGTGTTGGAAATTTTATTCTCACTTTCTAGTTGTTTTGAAATAGATCACAAAATGTTTCAATCAATGGCTATGCTATTGTGCTACAGAAAACCCAGGCCAAATATTTCTGCTATAGTTGTGTTTTGGTGCCACACTGAGCATCTTTTCATCTTTCATGCGCCCTCCCCTCCCCAGACTCTAGTGACCACTAGTCCATTCCATCCTTCTATTGGCTGACTTATTAACTTCTACAAACAAATGAGAACATGTGGTATTTGTCTTTCTTGTCTGGCTTATTTCACTTAACGCAATAACCTCCCATTCCATCCATATTCCGTGCCAGGATTTTACTCTTGAAAATGGCTTAAATCAAGGGCCAAGAATTTTAGAGTATATATGCCCATACCACCCAGCTTCTTGGTTGGATCAGCTTTTAAGGACATTTAGGTTCCCACAGATGTCAAGAAAGTGAGTAGGACCGTGCTGACACCTTGCACAGCTCCAAGGCTGCCTTTACATTGTACCTTCCTGGATCTGTGCAAGGCGGGGTCTTCACACAGAAGAAGTGAGGCAGAAGATAGGATGTGACTAAAACTCATGACAAAGCAAGGAGGCCTGGCTAAATCCACTGACACACGCGCAGAGCCATTCCCGAAGCCCTGCACACGGACTTCTCCTGAGAACTTTAACAGGTTTTTGATAGGATGACCTGGACATGAGTGCAGTATGGGAAATATCTTTATTAATTAAGTTCACTGGTGCACTTTAAATATACGTAACGATCACTTTCAACACAGGGACTTTGTACCTGTACAAGACTTATCTCAACTCCTCCTTTTTTTCCCTGTTCACTTATCTTCCATTGAACCCCTCTTCCTCTCCTTATTTATAAAAGCTTTACTTCCCTTTTTCATTTGTTTTTCTTTTCCCTTCCTTCCTTTCCCCTTCCCACTCCCTTTTTCCCTGTCCCAATTGAGCATTTTCTTAATATCTAGTATTTCATAATATCTAGTATACATTCTGGTCCTTATTCACATAATATCTAGTATACATTCTGGTCCTTATTCACATTTTTGGCTTCTCACACCAGAGAAACAGTGAGATATTTACACGTGCATGTTTAATTTATTTCATTTAAGAGTATGGTCTCAAGGTCTATCTATTTACCTAGAAATGTCTCAAGTTTGTCCTTCTTTATGGCTGAGTAGTACTCCACTGTATAAAAAACACATATCTTCTTTAACCATTTATTGGTTGATGAACGTTTGGGCTGTTTTCAAGATTTAGCTTTTTCAAATTGTATTGCTATAAACATGGGTATGCATATATTGCTATGGTGTGATGCTTTTAATTCTTTCAGGAAGGTACCAAGGGGAATAGCTGGGTCAAATGGGACCTCTAGTTTTAGTTTTTTGAGGAATCTCCACACTGATTTCCACTGTGGTTGAACCAGTCTACACTCCCACCAGCAGTGGAGAAGAGTTCCTTTTCCCCCACAGCCCTACCAGCATTTGTTATTTGTTGATTTCTTGATAATAGCCATTCTTTCTGGGGTGAGATGGGAAATGTGAAAAAAAAGACAATCACCATTCAGCATTTGTGATTGTGTCTCTTCGTGGTAGTCTACCCTATGCTATAGGATATATTTTCTTTTTTTTAAATTTTTTCTCCTTTTTTCCTACCTTTACTTGGCCCAAATCCGCACTGCAGAGTCTATTTCTGTCTACCTTTAATCTGCTTTTACTTGGTCCAATTCACTCTGCAAAGCCTGTTTTTTCCCTACTTTTAATGTATGTGAAAATTTGCCAGCATTTACACTTATTTCATTCAGTTCTTTGCTCGGGACAGAATGAACCTAGAAGTCACCGCTAGAAGGAGGCTGGAACTCCCCAAAGCCCAGTAACAGGAAGAAGAGATGGAAATAAATGGTGCTATTGTTCTGTGGGTACAGTGCTCCTGTTCAGGGTGATGAAAAAAAGTTCTGAAAATGGATAACGGAGAAGGCTGCAGAGCACGGAAGTTGATCTTAATACCATTGAGTGCTGCACTCAAAACTGTCAGTTTTATGTTATCTATTTACCATGATAAAATTAAACAAAGGGAAACAATGCAGGAAGTCCTTGGACCAACAAGTTTGCAGTCCTGGGTTGTAAAGAACATATAAAAATATAAGTATGACATGTAAATATGCCTCGGCCCACCTAAGATCATGGAGAGGGAGCAACTAGTGAGCGCAGGATGCTTGTTTGTCAATAAATGCTACATTTGGAATTAATAAGGAGCTTTGAGAGAGACGGCATTACACTGAATCTTGAAGCATGGTTAAGAGTTCATTGGACAGAACTGCGATCCTTTGGATAGTTGTTAGAAAAGCTTGGTGTTTGCCTCTCCTAGTTAAAAAGACACCATGCACAGAGGGCAGAGTGGGAGTGGAGGAGAATGCTGCAAATGTGGAAAGAAATGGCACCATAAAGCCAAGAGACAGGTTGCTAGCGAAGGAAGGGGAGAAGCCCCAGAGGGAAGCCTGAGTTCCCAGGGAGAGAACGGGGAGTACCAGCAAGCAGTTCCCATAAAGTCAGCTCAGCAATGGACTAGCACCTATGAACAGCCAAGGAAAGGATCTAAAAGTTAAGTAATATGGGAGGGAACCTTCCACCCTTCCCTCACACACCCTGCGGCCCCGCCCGCTCCCTTCCGGCCTTGGGGAAAATGGAGTTATAAAACCGATAGCCCGGTTCTTGGCAATTTGATTACAATGACCTGCTTTGGGAAGCAATCACAAAGCTAACAAGAAGGAGAGTTTCCGGTAAAACAGACACCTAAGCATTTTTCTTCCTCTTCCAGTTGGCTCTTTGAATCCAATATCTATATTTTCACACTAGAAATTATATAGTGCAATAAGTATTCTTGTACAGGGAAGCAATAAGCCAGCAGAATATTTGAGGCTGGAACTTTGCTGAAAAATCCAAATTTGTTATGTGCCAGTGATATTCACAGGCTTCCAAAAATACCTGAGAAACAGCAAATTATGGAGAGTTCTGTCCATAGGAACAGTATTCCTTAGGAAAACACAAATCAAAACAACAATGAGATCTCACTCTACATCCCCAGAATGACTGGCATGAAAGATAGCAATAGCACCAAATGCTGGTGAGATGCAGAGGAACTGGATCACTCATACGTTGCTGATGGGCATGTAAAATGATACAGCCGCTCCAGAGGACTCCGGCAATTACACTCCTGGGCATTTAAAATAGTTTATAAACATGTACATGAATGTTTATAATAGTTTAATTTATAATAGCCCACAACTGGAAGTAATTTGTATATCCTTCAAAGAGTGAATGTCTAAACAAACTGTGGCATCCATACCATAGAATATTACTCAGCAAAGAAATGAGCGCTAGAATCTGGATTAACACCCAGACAATTATGTTGAATGGGAATAAACAAAAAAGACAACCCTAAAAGGTTATACATAGCATGATGTCACGTAAAACAATTTACAACAATCTTGAATTGCCAAGAGGATGGAGATGGAGAACAGATTAGTTGTCAGGGGTTAAGTTGGGAATGAGAGCAGGAAGGCAGCGGGTGTGGATGTAGAAAGGCCATACAAAGGAGCCTTACAGTGATGCTAACCTTCTGAATTGACTGCACTGGTATCAATATCCCTTTTGTAAAATTGTACTATAACTTTGCAGAATGTTACTACTGGGGAAAACAGATCAAAACTAAATAGAATCTCTTCATTCTTCAAATTGTAAGTGAATCTACAGTTATCTCTTAAACACTGAAGTTTTCTAAATTAAAAATAAAATTGGAATCACATTGTACATATATTTTACATTTTATAGTTTTTAGATTTTATAGTTTTTATATCTTGAGTATTTTCTCATTGTCTTAAATATGTTTATGTTTTATTTCTTGATCACTCTATACCTTACTTATGGAAGTACTGAATAATTATTTAGTTATTCCTTTTCTTACAGATTTGCCTATTTCAAACATTGTGCTATGAATATCCTGGCACCCTTCTCTCTTTTAAACAGTTTTGTTGAGACCTAAATCATGAGACATACAACTCATCCATTTAAAATGTATAATTTGGCTGGGGATGTAGCTCAGTGGCCCAGCACCTGCCTGGCAAGCACAAGGTCCTGAGTTCAATTCCTGGTACCAATGAATAAAAAATAAAATAAAGTGTATAATTCAGCCAAATGTGGTTGTGCATGTCTGCAATCCCAGCACTTGGGAGGATCGCTGCAAGTTCAAGGTCAGCCTAGGACTCGTAGAGAGTTCAAGTCCAGTCTGAAGTATATAGCAAGAACCTGTCTCAAAAAGCCAAAAAAGAAAAAAAAAACTAATAAATAAATAAAATGTATAAGTCAATGTTATTAGTCTATTCACAGTGTTATGCAAGCATTATCATAGTCTATTTTAAAATGATTTGTTCCCCTCAAATAAATATCACACTTACTAGCAGTTAATCTCAATTCCTAACCACCACCATTTTCCTACCCCAGACCTAAGCAATCCTAATCTATTCTTATCTCCATAAATTTATCTTTTCTAGGCATGTCATGTAAACAGAATCCTACAGCATATGGCCTTTTGTGACTGGTTTCTTTTGCTTAGCATAATGTTTAAAGGGTCATCTGTGTTCTATCCTCCTTCAATATTCATTCATTCTTACTGCCAAATAATATTTCATTGTGCAGATATAGCACATTTTATATTTCTATTCAACCACTGAGGAACATTAGAATTTTTTTCTCCTTTTGGTTATGATATTGTTATGGTTTATGTCTGTGTGTCCCCCCAAAGCTTCATGCGGCCATGGGGCAGGCTTTTA